GACACCATCATTCTCAATCACAGTCGCTGTTAAAATTGCCCTAGTCAGCCTTGCTGTTCATTTTTCTTCATTGCAATGACCTATGGGATCTGGGAAGCATTTTCCTCCTTCCAACCTGTCACTCACTCACTCAGAAGTGCAGAGACTTCCTACAGTAAAGCCCTCTGGGATGAAATGTTTGCATACTTACACAGCATGATTTGATACCGTGGCTCCAAAGTGCTCAAGGACCAGAGCCATACCACTGATTTCTTTTTTATTATCATTTTACAGAGTCTTCCAGAAGGTCATATTTTATTGAAGTATTTTAATCTGACACTTTTCAAGCCAAGAAATTCCAAGTGCTTAATATCTTCTCACATACTCTTGGCAAGTTAGGACTGCCTCATAAACAGCCCTTTGAGATGGCCATAAATAAAGCTATGCTGATGTAAATTCTTACAGGTGGGGTTGCAAGTTGAGGCGGGTTATGCTTTAGACATAGATCTTGAGAGGATGCCAGATATAGGAAAAATGTTTTTGTTTTCGTTTCCTGAGAAATTTTTCAGAAGAAAAAATAGATTGACACAAATTTTTAAATTAAAGCTTCTCAAAAATGTGAAGCATTTCTTTACAGACAAGAGAGTTAATTCAAAATATACTGATCAATAATAAATGCTTATCATTAAATGGTAACAAACCAATCTTAGATGAGCACAGCTGCTAGTGAGACAAGCCAAATTCTTTATCCAGTTTCCATCATCACGTTGGCATCTGTCACCCATACAAATTACAACTTGCATAAAGCTGTAAAGACCATGAGCCTAGGGCAGTTAATGTGACACCAGTGACACCATAATTGTTTCCTTAATGTCAGACAGACATGGGCAGAGGCTGTGCCACTAACTGTAGCTCTCTGGTTCAAGTGATGGACTATCGATTGTCCATTATGTGTAAAGCTTTTGGCACCGGAGCCGTGGAGACGGCTCAAATGAAATGATTTCAGCTTCACAGCCAAACTGGATTTATATTTGATCTCTGCAAAAATGCAAAGCATAACGTCCTATATCTGATACCTTACCAGCCTGGGTGTGTACAAGCATGTGCAGCTCAAAGGGTCACAACCACAGCCCACAGGATTTGCATGTTCAGGCAGGATATGGATTGCACTACAAACTTCTCAGAGGTAGGACAAAAACGTAACAGTACTGAGCTTTAGACACAAGTAGCAGGGAACTGTTTGGAAGATTTTTTTTCCTCCTGATTTTAACTGCAGGACAAGAAAAGCACCAATGTCTGTCCATTCCCACCACAGAAACTGTGTGACAAAACATTAATGGACCACTACTACTAGTCGGTGAAGCGGTATCAAAAGTAACCTATAGGATAGTCATCAGAAGCATTAGTCTGTCAACGTCTACCATAAACCGGGGTAATGTCCAAATTTACAGCCCAGTATCGTCCACGCGCTATCTGTGGATTAGCCTCTTGTCCTTGACTTTCATACAGGGATGTGCCTGTAGAGTAGGTATGGGGCGGCACTGGCCCTCAATGTACTTCCATCTCACTTAAGTATTTGTAAGTTATTTTGGATGCATCTTTCGTTCGTTTTAAAAATAAATCTATTACTATACCATGTTGGTGTTTTTTAAATTATTATTATAGCGCTAATGCTGCATCTCCACCTGCAATGTTAGTGTGATTTACGCATTAATGCATCAATTTAAAAAAGTGTATATGATTCAGCACAAACATGTTTTATTTACTATTTTAAGGCTAAACCTTTGTAATATTACAGTAGAGGATTATGCATTTTACATATGTTCTTAGTCTGAATACTTCCTTCCCTACTGTAACATTGTTTAAACTTTTCATGTGCACCATCTGCATCAGGGCAGTGTGCTGTCTGACTTTCCGCCCAATCACAGATTTTCTACATCCTATTCATTTCTGATCAAACGGATTTCCTCTGGGCTCCCTTGCCCTTTTCTTTGTCTCCTTTGTGTTATTCTCTTTTAAAACCCTTACATATATCTCTGCCACCCTTATTATTTGGATTTTGTTGCATGCAAAAAAAAATCAGTTTTGCAAGAGACGACGTTTGCGACTTGCAGAGATGTAAAACCACAATACACAGAGCGATGCTATACGCCACAGGCGGGTTAGAGTTCCACCAATGGCCGCAGCTCCTGTTACATTAAGTAGCCTTGATTATCTCTGCTGATAGAGGGCTTAGCGGGATGTAGCCGCTGAGACGAGCTGAATGGCAACAGTTGCACTCAGAAACACTGTTTAACTGTTACACTTTAAAATGTTGCAATGCTAAAATGTTGCAACAAAGTGACAAAAAACGGCGGAGGCTACTAATTTCCATGAAAATCCAATTAGCAACAACATGCAATGAATAATTTCTTCTGACCTGTTGCGTCCGTTCAGCCGGATTCTTCATCACAGCCTGCCGAAAGCTGTTATCCACGTAAGACGCCATTGTTTTGGAAGAAGCCGTCTAGAGGATGTGGAATTCCTTATCCTTAAAATTACCTCTATCCAGGGGCAGGATATATACAAAACAAGTCCCCCTATTGTCTTGCTTTATTCTCGTCGCCTGTGCTCAGATGCTAGCGGGTAAGCTGGGAGTGCCCTGAGCCAGGCCACGACTGGAGCCAGACAGCCGAGCAGTCTCCTCAGAGTGTCTGTCTTTCTGCTGCCCGTGCCGAATCCGGCTGCCAACACCGGTCCCCACCGGGGAGGAAACTTCCTTTAAAAGCGCCGGTCAAACTCCCCCTCTTAAGAGTTATTTTCTTAGCGTAGAAAGTGTTGTCCCTTTATTCAAGCCAGCGTTCATTAAAGCCATTCCTTGTCTCTTCAGCATTCTGCTCTGCTAGCGACGGGGGAGAAATTCCATGTAAGGATCCAGCAAACAAAAAAGTGAGGAAATAGCAAGCGGCTAACCCGTCAGCAACCAGCTCACGCCCATTATCAGAGGAAGACTCCCGTCCTCTCACTGAGAAAATCTACTATGTTTGCATTTTGATGGAGCTAAAAGTCAAGATAGAGCCGCCGCCGCTCTGCTCTGTTGTATGCCACCATGGTGACTGACATACCGAGAGCATAAAGCCTAGCGGAGTTACCAGTGGACGTTACTTACAACCTTTCAAAATAATACCCCCAAATGACGCTAATAAAAAGACAATGAAGGCTGTGGAAATTTTAGGCAAAATATACATAAATAAATATGCATTTGGGTGTGTTTTGCATCATTTTCCTCACTTTTATGCAAGGCTTCAATGCAAAAATTACCTTTGTTTATGACCGTTTTTAAAGAAAGAAAATCAGTCGAGTCCACCTATATCAATATAGTAAGCTGTTATAGAGAAATATTTTAGTTTCTTCTTTAAACGTGCAGGTTTTTGAACAAGGTTATTATTTTCCCTACAAGTCCGCTTTGGTTAAGAAATCGTGCTGTTCTGTTTTGAAGGGACCACCGTGGCATTTCCTGTCTGGCTGTTGTTGTATTTCACTTGACAGAGATTATTGTCACAAGGAGGCGGCTAATCATGGGCGAGTCTATTTAACAAAAAAGGGAACGGAGGGCGTAATGTGGCAAAAAATTATGCTTTGGCTCCACCAAGTGGCTCAATGAGGGATTACAGCTGTGAGAAAATACGAAAATATGAACCTTGGTGTATAATTCATTGTTATTTGATCAATGCAGTGTTTCCTTCCTGTTTTAAACAAGCAGCTGTACCACCCTTATTGATGAAATCTAGCACACACCCTGAAGACTGAGTTGCTACCTAGGTTATTCACTCCAACATCCTTCAAAATTAAAGTCTTGTTTAGACCAAAATCCAGAAGACAAAACATTTTTCTGTCAATTTCAGGCCAAAGCTGATCTGCAGGTTATGGTTGTACTCCAGTGTCAGATGGGACATCTTACCCTATTAAATGTGTTATCCCCCAGGGGTCTGTGTTGGGGCCACTTTTATATTTTCCATTTCCCTCCCCTTTGTATCCATCTTTGAAAAATATAATATGGCATCACTGTTATGCTGATGAAACATAGTTTTACCTCTCATTTACAGCAGACTGTCTGTGTTCACCAACAAGGATGTTTAGCTGCCTTGATCAATGAATTGTGAAAAGTTTCCTTAAGAGTTCCTTCGCTCTGTTAATAGTCTGAGGAAAGTGGTTTTTATGCTTTACAATTGGATTACTGTAACTCCTTGTACATGGGGTCAAGCTTTTTCAAGATTCTGGCTTGATTAGTAAGCCCTTAACATTTAAGCTTTACAAAACTTTTCTGCCTTGGCGTAACTTAGATTATTATCTGCTCTTTTTCAGTTCCCCGCTCACGTGGAGTGGACTTTTTCATTTGCTTTACAAAGATTCTGAAACAGTTTTTCTTTTCATATTAAATCAAACTGTAAAGACTTTTTCAAGTCCACTCTTAATACCCTGTTATTTTTGCATTCATGGTTGGTAGTTTTATTGAGTTTCCGAATAAATGAATACATTTATTTATTCATTCATTCATTCATTTCATTTCATTGTGTAATTGGCTTTTCACTCTGTTATTTGCAGTTTGTTTATCTCTGCTGTTTGCGTGGTTGCTATGTGCTTAATAACTATTCTCTTTTCATTTGGTATTTCATTGCTTCATCAACAAGGTTTTGTTTTTATTATGCAGCAAATGGAAAGCTGCTTTTTAATGTACTTAATAAATAACAATTAATTTACTTATAACCAGGGACAGGATATATTTTACTTAATTTTACAGGGCTTGACATAAATAAATACATAAATACTTCATATAAATAAAGGAGTGAATGGGCATAGTTCAACACTTAAAGTATTATCTGCCTTTAGGCTGTAACTAGGATACAAGTAATGATTCCATGACAACCAGCCATGGCCCTGAGGACAGAGCAGACTGCTGGGCTCATGTTATCACCCATGGGTGGCCATTATCTAGGTGTATCTAGTCTGCAACTAGTCCAAACATAACAGGAAGAGAAATGATGCAAAACAGTGAAACAACTGCAGGACAGCCACAGTATGGACAGAGGATGATTTTTACAGGTAGGCCGATGTATGCAGAGAAGATGCTTTTATTAGTTTCTTCAACTCACTAAAGTTCTGGGGGATCAAATTATGAAGTTAAAATTAGAGCTGAAGCAATGTCTCTGCTGCCATATCTATAATACTTTATGAGTGTGAGTGTGTTGGAATTAATAAGAAAGTATTTGCTGCCAGATAACTGTAACCCAGTTTTCTGTAATTGTGCTTTAAACTGCACACCATGGTTGATCAATTATTAAATATTCAAGGAAATGGTGCATGTCCAAGCAAATATAGCTGCAACTGGACACATGATGGCACTATAACCTGAACCAAACTGACTATTTGTGCCTGTCTGTGTTTGTGTATAATATAATAATATTTATTAAATCACCTTAAGTTGAATATAGACTACATTTTTATGGTACTTAAGTTTATTAAAGCTGTGAATAAAAGCTTTGAGTTTGTTTGTATTTTTATTTTTTTTTACCTGCTTTATCCACTCACCAGGTCCAGATGGAATCGGAGACTATAGGCCAAGATCCAATTACTTTACCCGGTACATCGGTGTGGGTGCCACATCACCTGAGGCCACAGGTGACCTCAGTTACCTGTGCCGAGCTCCACCAGATGCCCTCCCACCCATTCCCAGGCAGAGCTATGTGGGGGAGGTGGGCTGGGGATGGCAATATAACCAGCTGTTAAACAGTGGGACGCTGCTCAGCAATATGCAAATTAAGGTGCAACTAAAATCTACCGTGTGCGGCTTATGCAAATGAATAAGCAGAGGCAGCATCTTCTGTTAATGTGCCACAAAGTCACATTGAGATTTAACTTTGAGAAACTCTGATGGACAGATGATTTATCAGCCTTGTGACATCATAAATATTTATTGCTATATTTTTGTTAAGTCGCATATTTTTAACCATTAATGAATATTTTTCACACAGTCTTCATTGTGATCAATTTATAAATTGAATCATATACACGTTCAAAAAATATTACATTAATCTTCATTATTTTTTTAACAGAAAACAGACATACGGGCATCGTTGGAGAACAGAGTCACTCAAAAGTTTCAGAGCACAAAGTAAGATAGAATGCCTTTTCCCTTTGCTCAGAGAGCTATCACACATGTGTGCTTTGTTATGTGGATACGTGAGAACATCTCAGGTTTGCACTGTGTTGAGTGATTGTAAGTTATCTACCTCCACATTCATAATGTAACACTTCCACTTCATCAGGAGCATGCAGCTCCCCAAGCTCTGTAAAAGAAGTAGGCCAGACATAAACAGACACACAGACGTCATAAAAACAAACAGGAGGTTTATGTTATTCTTCAGCGCCGTATCAAAAATTCAACATCTTTGAATTAACTGGCTTAAAATTATATTTATTGGTACAGTAGATAATCAACTATTTAAGAGCCAAAACAGTGAACAGAATCCTGTAGATCTGCTACAACCATAAAAGTAGGGTGACCAGATCTCAGCAAACTAAATGTGGTGCAAGGAGTTGGTTTGTGTGGGACACGTTACTAATACTGAAGGGTAGACTGAAATGACTGAATGTCACATTACAGGACACCATATTTTACTTTGTGGTAAATAAATAAAAAAGTAACTATAGCAAAAACTTAATGTGTTAAAAAGGAATTTAAAAAATGAATTTTCTCTTATCCGCTCAGGATCAAAATGACTAGAATACTTTGGCAATTCAAGGCTTACTCCCAGACGGCAAGGTGTTCAGGTTCTGCTGCTGCAAAACAAACCCAAGGTTGAGGCTGCATTTACCTAATTTTAACACCTGCAAAGGACCATGTGATTTTTTTCTGTTTTCATATGTTTAATGGGATAAAGCAAGACCTTAAAAAGTGCATGTCTCCCACTGTGGGCTTTTGTAAACTAATGGCCATTAAAATGTGGGACATCATCTTTATTAATGAGACTGAGGAATAAAAATGCTGTGCAGTGCCTCAAAGTAGGTCATCTCATCTTTGTGAAAGGCCCAGTTTGAATATATGATTGATTAAAGCATCTAAACAGTTTGCTAGACGTAATAAATGCAGAGAATTAGACTATGGCATAGCCATCAGTTCAGTATTTACAGGAGAGTTTTAGTGGCATGATGGCAGTGGTTAATATTAAAAAACAGGACAATATATTTGAATAACAGTGTAATATGAGAAAAACTGTATTAAAGAGTACAGTTGGAAAGCCCCAACTACTGTCACCTGTAATTCCCTTTAAAATATGAGTAAATTAAGCCTATATTATGTTTTGTTATATATATATATATATGTATGTATCTATTGCAGTTTCTGTATCAGCACAGCATTGTACAAATCTGGCAGCTACTTTTCTAGCCATTACAAGGATGTTTTGTATTGATTTTCTTCTTCACTTTGTCATCCATGTGGATGTTTCATGATTTTTCCTTTGTTCAGGACAGTTTTGCTTTCTGTTCTGAAACATTGCAGTTTCCTGGGACCAGTATGAGACACGGTTGACAAGGCTGTAGATTTTTATTCTTGTTGCAGGCGTCATTTACACAAATATTTTTCACCATCTTAGAAAATCAGTCTGTTGTTTTCCCACAAGAAAGCCAATAAAAGCTACAAATGCAAGATAGACAGGACTCTGTAAACCAGATGGGAAGGCACACAAAAAGCACAAAGCAAAGATGAATACATTAAGTCAAGAATGAGAAACAACAAAGGAAAAACAAAACCACTGTGTCATGATATCTTAATGACAAGCTGGGAACAGACAGACACACATTAAGAGGCTAAGCCAAATGACACTTTTGATTTCAGCAAGGAAATATTATTCATATATAATGGAAAGCCATTCCAAATCTGGAAAATACTTACAAAGAAACTGTAATATTGTAAAAACTAGCTGAACAGCACCCATCTGATCAGCCACTGGAGCCACCCAGATTTTCCCTCCTTCATTGGAAAAAAAAATGTAATGTTGAAATGATCATTCCAACTATGAAATGTGCACATTTATGGAAATTGTTCCTTCCACAGCTCATAATCCCTCAGAAATGTCTGATAGCTAGTTTTCCGAAATCTGCCAACCAGTAAGAGAAAACATAAACTGTAACATAAAAACAAATCGAGACTATACATCTGCCCAGGGAGTGGAGTGAGGACACATTAGGAACCTCAGACATGAACTCACAACTTCTTAAAGGAGCCATTGTAGAAGAATACAGCAGACCAGTAAAATGTACTAAAAATTATATTTGAAAGTTTTAATAAAAAAAAAACAAAAAAAAACATAAAACAAAAACAAGAGATAAGGTGGCATGTTTTCAGAAGCTTCAAAAAGACACAAGCTCTAGGAGATGAGAGGGGGCAAAGTAAGTTAAAAATCTCGTTTAAAGGAGAATTTGATATGCTAAATGATTTGCAAAGCCAGCAAACAATATGTCAAAATGCAGAGTGCAAGACACAGCTGATCACATTTATGACCATTGATGCAGCTCAAAAAGCTTCTCTCGGCTGTGCATGCAGCTACTAATCCCTTCCTTGAAGAATCCTTTCAGTAAAATATGTGACATGCATGAAATATTTGTAGGTGGTTGTTCGAGGAGAAATTATCATTTCAGAGTCAGGCTTTGCTATAGCACTGCACACTGGAAATGTGCATAGTCCAAGCCACAGACTGTATATAATACAGAAATAGAGTTTTAATTACAACAACATGTTGGTTCAGGCATGCACCAGTTAAATTCTGAAAAGAAGGGCATGCTTTTATTTTTCCTAAGGCTGACAGTCTGAGAACTGGCACATCTATAAATGTGAACTAACTCATATAATACAGAAAATTGTGCTAGTGACCTTCCATGAGGCTCCAACAGCTCCCAACCATTACATGTAAATGTTGCTTCAAAGTAATTTTCTCATTTTATAATTTCATCTTTATACTGCTAGAAGTTCAAAATATGAACAATTTTTATTCTTTCTTTAGAAAATTATTATTTTTCACCATCCTACTTTTTAAAATTTCACCCTTTAATAAAAAATATTTTCATATGAACATCCTGTGCAGTGACAAAAACGACTCCCCAGGGATTTAATAGGAGTTAAAGTCAACCACTTTAACTATTAGTCTCCTGCCTCAAACCTCAAGCCTGCACATGTTTTTGTAACAAATAATATGTTCTTTTTGAAGCTGTATGTGATGTAAAAGTGGTTTTATTAGGAAAAATCAATGGCCTACATGCAGTGTTGGGGAGTAACGGAATACATTTACCACCGTTACGTATTTAAAATACAAAATATGAGTAACTGTATTCCGTTACAGTTACCATTTAAAAAGGTGGTATTTAGAATACAGTTACTTTGTTGAAATAAATGGATTACACGGCGGTATTTTCCTGTTTCATATTGTCGCGGGTCAGGACTGTTTGGGTTTTGTTTGACAGTGGCTGTATCCCAATTCAGGGTCTGCAGCCTTAAAGTACGCAGCCTCAACGGTCCTCGAGGGCCGCGTACTCAAAGACCGCTAAGGCCGGAAGTGCGAGGCTTGTGAAATGGGACGGTCTAGCCTCCGTCGCGCTGCCCAGGTTGCCTAGCAACCACGATAGCTGGAAACGTGTGGTTGACAGAAATGAAGGAGAATATATTTTGTTCGTTTGTTTGTTTCTACATGAGCTTTGTGTGATTTAATAAGTATCCGAGGCTGAGACCACAGGACTGTAAAACATGATTGTTGGGCTTCATTTCTGTACTGAACAGTCATATAGGATTAGCTAGTAAATAACAATTAGTTAATGCTGTTCATGAGACTAAAGTCAATGTAAATATGAGATGGCCAATATTATAGTTATTATATTAATCATTATTAGTTATTACAGCAGTGAGTTTGAACTCTCAAATCAAATCACTTCTATTGTCACATCACATGTGCAGGTACACTGCAGCACATGTGAGTGAAATTCATGTGGGTGAACTCTGTGTCTAATACTGAGCTTCAGTAAAGATTCAAGTTGCAGTCATTTATATTTCCTATCACCTTAAATCTTCACTCAAAGACGAGTATCTTTGACAGTGTATATGTAGATGTATCATATATAAGAGACAAATATTGTTCTTTTAATATGTTGGCATTACTAAATTTGGCTCAATGCTTACATGTATGCATAAAAAGAAAATGCACGAGCTGTGATAACTGTTTCTGATAAAATGAAGAGTAGACTGATATATTAAATATTCCTTTATTGGGTGAGAAAATCAGACCATGTCATAACTGCTTTAAGTCATACAGAATAGATATCAGAGCTTTAAACAGGCTGGCTTCTGCTAAATGGGTCAAACTGGGCAGAAAGTAAACAAACACATAACATCCTTATAGAATATGATGTAACACTATAGATCAACTTACCTCAGAATATATAAAGCATATAAACAATTACAGCAATATGATGCAACAAACACAGCAGTGCTACTGATCCAAAATACTCAAAGCTTCATAGAACTGAAACACACATTTATTTTTAGGTCCATTCTGCTGCTGATATATACTTTAGGTTTCTGAACATTAAACTTGTTGCTGCCTTTCATAGTGTGTAACTTGAAGGCCCTGAGTACTTTCTCCCACACTGAAAACACTGGGATGATAAATTTATTTGAACATTACCTAATGAGACTGATTCAGGACAGACAATTAGTTATGTTAAACTTTCCTAGCAGTCCTTCACAAACAGGGAACAGTCTGTCTATTCTCTCCATCTGTCAGCTGCTGCTGGCTCTTCCTCCTCCTCTTCCTCACACACTGCTGAGTTTGTCCTGGTGGATCATCAGGGGTGCAAAGCCTCACAGATGATGTGCAGCAGTGGGTCCCTCAGTCTGTCCTCACTCTGGACACTTGCAGTTGTCACACATGGAAATCAAATGTGTGATAAGCTGCAGGATTCAAACACAAGTGTAACTTCTAAACACATGTTCATACTTTTATTACACAATCAGAGAGAAAGAAACAGAGAGAGAGTGCAGGACAGACAGACAGGTGACAGTCTCAGGTGTACACACTGCTACACAACAGCACCAGAGAAGGAGGATTTAGTGTTTGTGTTATTACGA